CTGTACCCCATTGACAGAGATTACTTTCAACTAGGCGTTTTCAAAGAGATGGAGATATAAAATAGAACTAAACGTTTCCTGTAGAAATCTGAATGATGAGAGATACAAATTAATCTGGTATAATATGTCAATAATATGTCACGCACAGTCGTTGAATCATGCGATAATTTTCTTCTCAATTAAAATCCTCTAGATATGAAAAGTGTCCTACATAGAATCGACGTTCTTTCGTTTCAAACACACAAGGTTATTAAGGACTTTCTTATCAAACCTACTTTTCTTTCCTGAACCATTAAACTAAATAGAACTAAACGCTTAATCAGAGCAGCCGTTAATTAATTTACGGGCTGTGCATCGCAAGAATTTTCATTCGTCTCTCCGGCGGCACTACAAGCTCAATATTACTTTGCTTGAAAATGACTGCACAAACGGTTAAAATGCCGGTTTTAAATGTTTTTCAGGAATTAATGAATTCATATGGCGATTGCTGTAATTAAACGTTTAGAGTTAAAACGTTTTATCTCACATTTTTAGCAAAAAGTGAGAGAAATGGGGACATTCTCAACGTAAAATTAACCGAATTTTGAAAGCTATGAACAATTTTTATCATAAACACAGTATGAAAAAATAACTGCCTCATCAAACTAAATCTCACCAAAAAACATTGCAAGGTTATCAACGGCTTTCTTATCAAACCTACTTTTCTTTCCTGAACCAATAAACTTATATTACTTTTCTTGAAAATGACGGCGTGAATAGTCAAAATGCTGGTTTCAAATGTTTTTAAAAAATTATTGAATTCGTATGGCGGTTGCTTTAATAAAACGTTTAGAGTCTAAAAAGTTTTGTCTCACTTTTTGCCCAAAAATCCATAAGACTGAAAAATTTAGTTTGAATTCATTAACCCACAAGAGCGATCCTTCGTTGTAATAGTCAGTTATCCCTCGAGGACAGTAAAACTGACTAAAGTAAGGTGCAGCAAATTGAAAATTTATTAAACGTTTAGGGTCTAAAACGTTTTGCCTCACATTTTTGGCAAAAAGTGAGAGAAATAGGAACAATCTCAACGTAAAATTAACCGGATTTTCGAAGCTATGAGCGCTTTTTATCATAAAAATAGTATGAAAAAACAACTACCTCACCAAACTAAATTTCACCAGAAAACTATACATAAAAAAAACCATCACAAGAAAATCGTCCTGTTAATACCGTTCTTGCAAATTCTACGGTTCATTATAAAACATTTTGAAATTCGAAAACATAATTGTACTTTGTTCTGCCTCAGATATACAACAGCATGACGGCTTTTTATCTTAAAGATTTCTACACCACTGGAATTCACTAATAAGAGCAGAATATGAAAAGTGCCCTACATATAATATACTATAGCCTCGATATGACCGAAATCTTTTTTTGTAGCTACTCTTATTATTACTTGTATAGAATCTTCTCATTTGCTTAGAAAATCGAGCAGAAATTTTTCTAATTTTAAAAGATGGGTGAAGAAAGACTTTCCTTGAGCCGTTCACAGTGGGCAATTTTGAGTAGGCACATAGACATATGCTGTAGAAGTGGTAGGTAAGTCTATAAACACACTTTTTATAGATTTCTGATTATGCTCTTTCCAATGATGAGATTTTCGAAATTCAAAAATAATATTTTCTGGCTTTCCTAGAGATTCGGTCTTTAGAAAACCAGGGAAAAATTATGTTTGGATTTCGAAAATCTCACCATTGGAAAGAGCATATTCGAAAACCTACAGAAAACGTGTTTATAGACTTACGTACCGCTTCTACAGCATAGGTCCACATGCATAACTGCTGAACACGTACTAAAACTCCTACGCTACGATTCAGTGTGATCGAAATATTTTCTGTGTAAAAATGTTTTGAATTTTATTTATTCGAGACAGTTTTTCACGCTGATTCCGAATATGTTAACATTCTTTAAATATATCCGCTTTTGGAACGAGAAAAGTCGAATTTACATAAAAAACTAACGTTCTTTTTTAAAGTCTATAACTTCGGCCAGAAGTATTTATGCATCTTTATGCTAACTCTAGAGATGTGTTACGTAAAGGTCAACAATCTACGAAAGTTTCAATACAATGGAAGATAAGGAAAATTTAGGAACTCAGTTTACTGAAGAGAATGTTTCGGACGTAAATAAGAAGTTGGGTATTTCCGACAGAAAACACTTGAAATAAAAAAAATTTACGGATCGATAGAGCAAGAGCGGCTCGCTCCGTGTATACAAAATTCATGTGCACATTTTTTTTCCTTTTTGTGCTACATGCTTCTTTTTCCAGAGGTCGCTGAAAAGTAGCGAATTTTTGAAAATAGGATATCTCAACGACCTTAATAGGTAAAACAAAACTTTTGCGCCATTAAATCGAGCGTTATTCACAGTTTATATGACACCACTTAAATCTTGTAAAAACTCACTTTCGTGTTTTCACCTAATGTCCACGTGGCAGCCCACTGTGCCGCTCATGAACTGAACTAAAGGTGAGTGCACTGAAGATAACTCCATAAGATCTTACTTTTCAGAGAAGAATAAAAGGCATCTGTCACCCGAAGTTCCAAGGTATATCGGTTTCTCTTCTCAGAAGTAAGTGCCGAAGCAGATGAATTTGTTTTTGTTTCTGTTTTTTTTTTTCTAACAAGAAATGGTGGTTTTGAATTTATGAAAGAAGCCATTTCTAGAAAAAGTAAGTGGGCCGATTTCATGGAAAATGAGGCAATAGCCCTAGATCACAGCCGTTTTGCAAGAGACATTTTAATGAAAGTTCCGATACTTTCATGAAAAACAAAACGCTTTAATGAAAGTCTTTTAATGAACGTCACCCAATCCGAGAAATCTTCTATACAGAACAAAAAAATAGCCTCGAGTCTTGGAAAATTTCGATACTGGAACTTTTATATTGAGGCTAAAGGTCGAGTATTGAGTACCCTTCTCGGTGCATCTCTGACAACGGACTATAATTTTATGTTAGGTACCTGTCGTTGTTCAATCTCAGTCAAAGTAAAGGAGAAAATCATGAACAAAATGCGTGTCTCTGTGGCAAATGTTGCTTGCTCAGCAGCAATATTTACCTGTTTTTTTAACATTGAAAAGAGTTTATTTACCTTCTTAAAAAGGTTAAACAAAAATCGAGACACTGAATTAATGACGACAAACAAATAAAAAAATACATAGTACATTATTATTTTATAAAAGAAATGAATGATTCTATGACTCAGTTTTAGGTCGAGAAAACTTTAAAATACTTTTGCTTTTTGTCATTTCTGTATAATTCACACTTTTTCTCTCCAAAATATTTTGATTATTAAAAACAATTCTAATGCATTTTTGTTTTGTTGTGTGGTTGTTTTTAATGAAAAGAAACAAACGTTTTCGGAGATTAATAGCGCCGTGTTTTCCATCGATCTTCGGTAAGAGACCTGTAATCGATAGTGGTGGTCCTGAGTAGTTGAGTGAGACTAGCTCTTAGAAAACGTTGGAGGTTGGTTTCTGGAAATGCAAATGTTTAAAATTAAAACGTTCTCGTTCAACCACATTGATTTTATTTTTGATCATAGTAATTTTTCCAACTACTCGACGTTTTCTTGGTTTAAATTAGGTAACTCAAGTTAAGATATTTATGTGAATAATCACATGAATTTGAGAGATATATCTCCCTGGAAAAAAATAGTCTCAGTCGTGTTTTTTTAATTTATTATGAATACACAACTACATTTTAGAAAAAAAATTCTATGTATTCTGATTGGGCCTGAAATTTTCCACTAGCCTATGCTTTGCCCAGTCTTGACTTGCAATTATTTGCTGACAAATATTTTGAATGTTGTTAACGTACCAACGTATCATATTCCATGCTTCTTCAACTAACTCTTCTAAGCGTTGTTGAGAATTTGGATGATATCTCTGTACATAACGATTCATCCAAGCTCACACACTCTCAGTAACATTGAGATCGGGACTAACAGCTAGATAATTATCCGTACATGCTATGTGATTACTAGATAAGCAATCATGTGCTGCTGTATGTGCCCATGTGGGATGATCGTGTACGAAGCAATATCCTCTTAGTAGACGTAGATGTGAATTTAACGCAGCTTGTAGATATTGAACATCTGTAACAGTGACTAGAACATATATAACAAATGGCTTTTTTTCTTCTTTTTTTACGTATTGAATTAAAAAAAAGAAAGGAAAAAGAATTATATTATGATGAGACCGACCGCTATTTCACTTCATCATATCTCCATTTATAATGAAGAAACGCACTCTCTTACTCACCTTTTATCCTTACCAAAAAATATCCTTAGACGCTTGTGTTAATTCGTAAGTAAATAAGATTATTTTTTTCGGCACTTTTTTAGCATTTTTGCTCTACTTTCTTACTTGCTAAAAGCCTTCCAAAAGTGGATGAGGTACAATAGCATAAAAAAAGACAGGCTTTTACGTATGCTTTTCGAGTTGATGAGTTGTGAATAAGTCATTGATTTCAGTAGATTTTCTAAGCAGTACAAATGCTTTGCGAGTGCATTTGACTTTGTCGAGTTATGATTTAATTAGTTATTTTGATAAAATCCATCACCATTTAACACCATAAAATATGAGTTCATCTTACATCCATCTGAAATGTAATATATCATTGTAAATAAACTAAACAAGCCTTGAAATATTACACAGCTAGTGGATTACATAAATCTGTTCGGATTTTGGCAGTTAAAGAAGTTTTTCGTCATTTTATATGAACTAAACTTCTAAGATCCATTCAGTTGTTGTTTTCTTGGATGAACATCGATCGTTGTTGTCCTTGTTTCTGAATCATAGTTTATGGTGTTACTTGAAAGCTTCGGAAAAAAACCTTTCAATCTGGGTATTGCTTTAACTTGTAATATGCCTATATTGGCTCAAACTAAAATATTTTTTGCATTCACTCTGGTTCGCCATCGTCGTACCTTCTTCTTAGAAAAATTTTCTCCCAACCGATTATGATTGTAGAAAACAAAATGGAACCAAAAGAAGTATTAAAAAAGTGGATCGATGCATTTAACAATGCAGATATAGATGCTCTGGCCAATTTTTATTCGGATAATGCTGTTAATCATCAGGTAGCTAATGAAAAGCCAGTTATTGGTAAACAAGCAATAAAACAAATGTTCGAAAACGAATTTCGCCAAGCAAAAATGATTTGTATACCAGAAAATATTTTTCAAGATGATGAATGGGCAATATTGGAATGGAAAGATCCTCTTGGTTTTAGAGGTTGTGGATTCTTTCATATTGTTGATGAGAAAATCATATTTCAACGAGGATATTGGGATAAATTGACATTTCAAAAATTGTACAACAATGATGAAAAGTAAAAGCTAAGATCTATTTTATTTTAGAAAAATCGTTCTGTTAGAACTTTTATACTTTTGTTTGGTCCTTGTGTATGTTAACGTTGATCTTTAAAAATGTGTGTTTTTCAGCAGAACAAAAAATAGCTTTTTTACGAAGACAACTTCATGCACCGATTTCAGATCTAATTGATAGAATTGGAGCCAGTCAGATATGAAAAGTTCCTAGTTTATATACGAAACTCCTATTCTAGTAAACGATCTGATGACCTGGTCAGGATCCTGGGCATAAAATCAGTGACTAGTCTTATCAAACATCAGTGCCTGGTTTTGGGTTTTTTTCCAGTTTCTGGTCATGAATTTTGTCAGAACCTGGGCAAGGAAACCGGTGACTGGCCAGAAAAATCAGTAATCTGGTTCGAAAATCAGTTATCTGGTCAGAGCGTGTTTATGAATAGAATTGCTATGTACTTCTTTTAAGCTCAACCGCGAAGCGAGTCTGAGGTGAATAACTCATCCTGATTACATCATGTTCCCGAAGAGAAAACCGGGTAACATGGTGAAATCAGTATGTCAATTACCTTAAGAAACACTTTATTTTAAGAGATCTTCTTGAACGAAAAGTTTTTCAATCAAGTAACCAAGATCCTATTCTTGAGCGAACCAGGATACTGGCCAGAAAACAAGATACTGGTCTCGAAAAAAACAGGTTCCTGAGCAGTCACTCTGATTGGTTGTTTTGTTTTTCGTATTCTACGTTTATTGCCCTTAACAAGTTTTAGAATGAAATGTTTGGTTTAGCTTCGTGCACAACAAGTCATGTTTTATCAACACAATCAACAGAAAGTTCGAAAAACCGAAAACAAACAACACGAAATTTGTCGCATAAAACTGGTAACATTTTTTCATAACCGGCAAAACAACAAATGTGCTAGAAAAAATATCTGTTGTTGATTATTTAAATGATTTATTTGATAAAAATGATGTTGATCGTTCGAAAAAAATCTTGACGGTATTCAAAAAATATTTTACAAGTCATAATGACATTGAGACTGCACATATGCACAATTAACAGTAATAAAATGATCTGCAAATTTCAACACCGTCCTATCATTATTGTTGTTACTAGCCATACTATTCAAATCTGAAAACACACAGATACATCAAAAGAGAGATATGATTATCAACAAATGCAACAAGGCAGCACCAGAATTGTGTCCCTTTCGCAATTCAATTCTAAAGATATGCTGAACGCCCATATTTCGGTTTTTACAACAAAATACTCTTTTTTTTCAAATAAAAGCTGAAAGAAATACCTCTACCCTTATTCTTTTTAAGAAAAACCACGAGAATCCGTTATTCTAGAAACGAGAAAGAAATAGCAAGTCGATTCTTATTGCATTGATAGAGAGAATCAATTCAAACTCATATTGCACCCTTTTTTGCTCCAATATAAACATGAAGACAATTCATTTCACTTCATTTACTCTGAAAAAATATCAGAATGTGCTATTACAATGACTGTAATAAATGGTGTAAAACAACTTAAAAATTACAAACAAAATATTTCAATTACAGGTCACAAAAATAAAGTTTTTTCAACTGTTAAGAGGGAAAGAAAAAAATACTACAAAAGACTATGAAGAAATGAGAGAAGATTGTGCATCATTGGCCTGATAATTTTTTCATGATCACTCCCATTTGTACTCGCTTATGCACCTTATGCAATAACATTTTCTTTACCATCAATATGCGTACGATTTGTCTAGCAGACTTAAACTCCAAGATTAGTCTAATTCTGTGGAATGTTAAAGGTGTTTTGAACAAATTATTTGATTTCTTAAGAATCGACATAAATCTAGATAAACATTTTCAGTCTCAGCCTAAACAGCGAAAATCAGGCCTTCGGCATCGTACTGCGTGTACACACTACTCATACTTATTACTAATTTGTATAGGCAAACCGTGTTGAAAATAATATTCTACACTCTCTCCCAGTAACTCTAGCTAAAATAAACTGTTTACTCGTTTATTTTTATCTAACAAACAGCTTTACCTGAACCAAGACTAATAACAGAACGGCTTTCCTGGTAACTCGTTTTTCATAAAAATCACTTGCTGATTCTAAAAAAAGAATTGGTTCACTCAGTTTTTAAACCAAACAAAAACATCAGACATATTGGTAACCACTTTACCAGTATTGTTTGAACTTTGTTCAGCTAATGTAGCACGATCAAATGTTGTTGTCGTCGTTTCCACTAACTTAAAAGAATAAAAATACATTTAGAAGAATTAGGTTTTTGTATTTCTTGATTCAAACACATATTATTTCTTTCACAAGTTAAATCTAAAGATGGAAATTTTATATTTTGTAACATATTGCGATTAAAATTTGGAGTTACAAAACGACAGAATAACTGACATACTTTCAAGAATTTCGAGCTTTTACCAGGGTTCTGTCTCATGGTTCGGCATCACAACATATCCAGTTCGATTCAACCAGAGGTAGACATGGCTGGGACTAAGGTTTTTCAGTTCCAGTCCTGAAAAAACTTTTTCGCGTAAAACACGAAAAAAACACTGTGGTAACGCCGTAACACGCCGAAGGCGAGTAACAAAGAGGATGCAGATGGTAACAGTGAAAATATGAACAGTCAGATAGATGATGACATATACACTTGTTTTTTTGAATGAAATTCTTTCTGCTTGAGATGTTGGGTTTTTAATAAAGACTACATAACACAGTAAACAGAATAAATGAAAGTCTCGATCCCGCATGTATATATAGAACACATTCAATGTTCGTCTTTTGCTTGTACTGACCACTGTTATGTTCATCTTACCATAGCAATGTTTATAACCAATGACCTACTGTACCTCTATTGCCTTACTATTTCTTTTTTTGCTACTGATGAAGCTACTCAGTTTACTGCTACTATTGTACAAATGGTTTAGATCTAATAACAGAAATTTCTTACCAATGCCTAGGTCGCCATCAGTTACATTTTCTTTATCTTCAAATAAATTATTTCCAGTCGATGTTAAATCATTGGTTGTTGTCATTAGTGCGTCAACCGCTGTTGTTGTTTCTCTCTCTGTCCCATCATTTGGTGGTAACAGTAGTAATGCCAGAAAATCATCTCCATCTATATTTAATGATACTAAAGCAGACACAGTAATACAATATTTTAATTTTTCTGATTTCTTAGAAAATGCTCGCTTACTTCGATCAACATCAATAGCTGTTGTTTACAAAATAGAGACAAACTTATTCAGCTCATGAACAAAAGAAAAATGTAATCGTGCTTAAATGAAGCAGAACACTTTCTTTCTATTACACATATTCCATTGAAATTTTCCACTTTCGGAGACACCGCACAGTCTATAAACGCGAGCACCTACAATTTTTCTTAGTTGACAGAAATGTAGAACAAATATTTTTTACCAAGCCAATGTCTTCAAGCCATCGACTTAAGTAAAGTACATCTTTTCAAAAAGATAGAACACCGTAAAAAGACCATCCACTTTCTACAACTGACTTCGTTGTCCTGCATGTGATCGACGGTAAACAAGAAAGACAAAAATCAAAAACTTCTGATAAGACAAACAATGAATGAACCACAGACATACAAAAGAACTTACTCCAATTACTATTTTGAAAATCTTTAAACATATTTTCAAAAATACTTGCCACGATCATTCGTGTTTGTGTAATTGGTTGTGCACTTAACGATGAACCTTGTTGTCTATGTTCCTGATCGTCATTTTCATTTTCTTCTGCATCAAGTACATCTCTTGTTTTACCACCTTGACTGTTATTACCATTACCAGCACTGTTTTTCAGTTTTTCTTTTAATACCCGATATTCGTCGCCTTGAATTTGTTGAATTTCACATACTGTCTGGCTGCTACTCTTACACGTTTCTTCAGTGGTTGTACAACTCTTGTTTGGAATTGTTTCAGAAAAACTTGTTGAACCATCGTAGTTAATAAACTATTTGGATTACCACAAAATTCTGCTTTAATTCGCAAAATTCTGAAAATAATTTGCACAATTCTGATAGGGTTTGTCAAACATCTGCTGTATTTGGCAAAATTCTGAGAAATGTGTTAGAGTTGTAACAATATTCTTGCATAATTCTGTTGATTTATATCTTTATTATGTAAATAATAAGGCCAGCGGCGAACCATTTTAGGCCATGCATAATATAGGCTGCATTAAGTGATAAAGTCTAACAGGTGGAGAATGAACAGTGACATAATATATAAAAAAGTTAAAAACGTCGAGAAAAGCGAAAATAACATAGACTAGACGGAGAAACGTGGCGTGGACTAATTTAAATTTTATTAAAACTTATTAACGTTCTACTAGCTAATCATCAAATCTGTTAGTTTGTTTAGCGTAAAATACAACTACTTTTAAAACAAAAGGAAGTGAAACATCGTCTAGATTAAGATCATTCAGCAATAGTGTGTCGACTGTAATCGTGGTCAGAAAATAATTCTGTTGTATTTCACAAAATTCTAGAAAGATTTCGGAAAATTCCATTAGGATTTCGCGAATTTTGCGGCGTTTGAATTAGTCTTGTTGATAATTGATGAATTTTGGCTGCGATTGGGATGATGATTTTCAGTTGTATCAAATTGACTCCGAGGATGAAAATCAAACAGGTATCAGTAAGCGAACTGATGATCAATATGGTGACACGAATGAAGAACAATCTGTGAATCAATCCAACGATGTCAAGGACAATATCAGAAATCAATACATAAGCAGTTGCTCGTCACCAATTGAAATAGCTATGTGTCGCCAGGTTATCGCGATGTCTAAAACTCTCTCTCACCCATCTCGCCTTCGAACTGTTGCTGTGACTATTGCTAAAATATTGATGTGGCTCAAACGTGAACCACCGCCACCATCGCCTCATGAAAATAATTCTTCTTTATGCAAAGAATTCCGGCTGATGATAGATCGTTTTGTAACACCTAAACATTCTAGGAACAGTAAAAGTACTTTCTGTGTGACACATTATTCATTTTATTTTATTGTCGTATTGGATGATTGATAATTCGCATGTAAGCAATAAAACTCTTATGATAAAAACAGTTATCTCAAACTTCATTTTACATTTGTTCTCCTACTTAGTCATCCTTTTCCGAGTATTTGTTCCAGTCACTTTGATTGGTTGTTTTGTTTTTCGTATTCTATGTTTATTGCCCTTTACATGATGTCATGCAGAAGGAAAAGACATTCTGTTGTCAATATCCACTTTCTTTATCGAAGAGACATGCAAAAAGAGTTAAGCGAAAGTGTATTTTCGCAAAAAAGAGCAGCGTAAATTAATTATTGTTTACTGAGGGACTAGTAATTGGTTAGTTATTAACCCTTTAACACCCGGCTATTTTTGCGAAAATACAAATTTTTCCAAGAAATGTCGGGACGTATATATACGTCACAGGGCTAACGACCCCCCTACTTTCATTTTTTTTCGTGTTTTTGGCCTAAAAGCAATGAAAAGGATCGTATAGTTGGATTTTTCAAACGTCGTGGATGCGTAGTTCATATAGACATTATCCCAAATGACAAAAACAAATAGAAAAAATTAATCGATCAGAACACGAAGATATTGGATAAAAGAAGAGTTATTAATATCTAATTTACTATCTTATTTTTGTATTTATCAGTCTGAATAATGTTCAACTGATCTCATGTGATGGAATGCAGATCAAAATAATTATTTTATTTAACTTTAGCTGTGTCTGAAGAAGATGTTATTCGACGTCAAAACGCTACAACGTAAAATAAATTAATGAGTAATGGAACATATCAATTCGGTCATCGTAAAAAGTGCACTACGCGAATCTATGACGCACGAGATAGATGTATTACTAGTCGCGAAAAAAGTCTACTTTCTTGTACATTAAGCAAGGATAGAAAAACAGCGTACTAATATGCAATTTAAGAAAAACACTGCCTTTATAAGGCGCAGCTAATGCAAAATTCTTTTAGTCTTAAAAAGCCTTTTTCTCATGGAGAAAAACTCGAGATACGGAGAGGGTCTAAAAAATCGAAAAAAATGATCTCTCTCGTAGAACTGACTTTTTGAAGTTTTATTGCAAGACGGAAGATTTAAACTATTTTTTTCTGAATCAGCGTTGAAAACTGATTTAGCAAAAAGTTTTTAGTTCATTTCAAAGGTAAACACTCGTCCGCCACGGATGTCCAAGTCGACGGGTGTCCAGTGAGGTGTGACTCATCTTGTACATCTATCCAGTTTTTTGAGTGAAGAGCTATACCTTTGGTTCATACACCATTAGATCGGCCGAGACCAGCTTCAAAAGTACGGAGAGCTTTTTTTAAATTCCTTTTCCTCGCTGAGAAAATCAACTTTTACTGGAATCAAGAGAAAATCGGTCACGTTGTTTTTGAGTAACTTTTTCATTTTCAATTCAAATATAATAAAAATAACCTCACGTAGGTTAAAAAACATGAGGAATTCGATGCAAATACTTTCGAGATCCTTAGAAGGCTTTCAGAAACTTCTCAGAAGGTTTCTAGAAAACTTTCGCAGAAAACAACATAATTTTTTATCGCACATGTGTGAGAAGTTTATATTTATCACAGGCAAGTTGCTCACATACCTGCACATCGCTTTGGCTATTCGCATCTCTTTCTTTCTGCTCGTGTTTCGCTTCTCCTTTTTGTTTTTCGTTCTGTGTTGTTACTGTTTGATGTTTTTGTTGGTATTCATTTATGTTAGACAGAGCATAAAGAGGAGTCGGCTACAGGGACCTGTAATAATACTTTTTGTTTCGCAGTTTTTAATTCTTGAATGTTTAGATTTGTCATTTACTTCTTAATTTTTTTATTTTCTATTATTTCTTATAACCGGCTTAATTATTTTTGAGAACTTTGTCATATTGAACTGATCCGCTGGTATCTTATAGAGAAAATTGAGCTGAACAACTTTTGTTCCAGAATAAATGGTTGTTTTTGAGATCTGGTAGCAGACAGAAATGAAATTACGTTCGATGATATGATTAACACGCATTTTGTATAGATCCGTTCTAATTTGGGAAAACATTTCCATATGCGTTCGAATTCGGAACACTGCACTTATTTGGAAACTTCATTCTGCAGCTCATAACTCACTTATTTTTTGAACTTTTTAAAAAAATTTCACCAATAGATAGACAAGACATGTACCTGCTCAGTCGTCAAATTGATGCTGATGTGCTCGCGGTTTCGCTGAGATATTAAAGTGGAAACACGAACATCTAAAAACTCTCGTTCCAGTTAGGAACATGCACTCACTCTACGTGGCTTTGAGTCAATAAAACCATCATATAGAGAGACGGTGATTGTTCTTTTATCAAGCGTCTGTATAATATAGATGTCTAAGCATCACAGAAAATCAGCTCTGCATTCGTTATGCAATGTGCCTAAAAGGAGAAACAATGAGACGCACTAAGCATATGTTGTATTGAAAGCGCTGAACTTAAGACTATTGTGAAGATGTTTATTTCTGAAATCTTTTGCGAACATTGCGATAACCTTCACGAGTAAAAAGTTTAAGCATTTGACAGTAAGATCTTTTAATCACTGGCGCATTATCTACCCAGATAGTATAGCGATCTTTAAAATGATCACTTTGTTCGATATTTGTAATTCGGAACATCGTATTCGGTAACACTAAAACTTCTTCTTCGTCTTCTATTTCTGACACACATGGAAGATGAACTTCAGGAATAGCATAGAGTTGAATGGCTGTTTCAGATGGTTGAGAAAAATTGAAAATCATCAGCACACTTATTCGACCGTCGTTTAGCGGATTATCACAATAAATTTCAGGAACCATCCGATTGATGCTTGTGGACATGAAACCGTGAGTGATTATGAGGCAATTAGAGTGCTCAAACGCCCATTTATAAGCATGCAGAAGGTTTTTGTTCATAACCATTCCTCGGTAGGTGACTCCATGAAAATAACGATTCTGAAGTTTTTCTAAGTGACACAGGATGGTGCTGTTAAACGAGTTCGATTTTTCGTGCAAGTGCGTGTAAAGTGGCGTCGGTAATGTGTACAAACGGAGTAGGTGTTCAATCTTGTTGTCTCGAAGGTATTCGTCTACCAAGTAACACGCCTTTTTATACTGAGAATGCTGAGGTGTTACAAAACGATCTATCATCAGCCGGAATTCTTTGCATAAAGAAGAATTATTTTCATGAGGCGATGGTGGCGGTGGTTCACGTTTGAGCCACATCAATATTTTAGCAATAGTCACAGCAACAGTTCGAAGGCGAGATGGGTGAGAGAGAGTTTTAGACATCGCGATAACCTGGCGACACATAGCTATTTCAATTGGTGACGAATAACTGCTTATGTATTGATTTCTGATATTGTCCTTGACATCGTTGGATTGATTCACGGATTGTTCTTCATTCGTGTCACCATATTGATCATCAGTTCGCTCACTGACACCTGTTTGATTTTCATCCTCGGAGTCAATTTGGTACAACTGAAAATCATCTTGTTCCGACACGCTTTGTGCGTAACGCAAGAGTCTGTCTGGTAACGGTCGGTGAAACAGTTGTTGTACGCTTTCATTTTTGGCGAGTTCATAAGCTGTTAAGCCGTCACGATTTGGTCGATGACGAATAACCCCAAAATCATCTAGAAGCATTCGAATGATAGCTTCATGTCCAAGTTCCACTGCCACATGAAGAGCAGTACTGCCGTTTGACTCAATATCATTGAGCGACGCAAACGATACGTTAGAGTTCCTCAAAATCTTCTTCACCCACTCAGAATCGTTTGCTTCACATGCCAAATATAGGTCGCTAAATTTATTGTCTGCATGTGTAGTTTCGCTTACCGCTTCTTGCATGTCTCTTCGATAAAGAAAGTGGATATTGACAACAGAATGTCTTTTCCTTCTGCATGACATCATGTAAAGGGCAATAAATATAGAATGCGAAAAACAAAACAACCAATCAAAGTGACTGGAACAAATACTCGGAAAAGGATGACTAAGTAGGAGAACAAATGTAAAATGAAGTTTGAGATAACTGTTTTTATCATAAGAGTTTTATTGTTACATGCGAATTATCAATCATCCAATACGACAATAAAATAAAATGAATAACATGTCACACAGAAAGTACTTTTACAGTTCCTGTTCGTATAGTGAATCATACCTCCTACGACGTTTTGTTACAGTGAAGAAAAAGAAAAGCATCGATTATACAAGAAGATGGTAGACAGACAAAAAAAAAAAAAGAAAAGGAAAGACTTGAGGATGAGTAAAGAATAACTAGCTATCTCTGTCCAGACAAGCCAAGGACAGCTCATATTTTAAATTTGTTAGTTTCTCAGAGAGAGTGTTCATTTGACCCGAATATGGTCGATCAATTTCACTTACAATACACGACCTTCCATTGTGAGATCGATTTTATGTGTTGAAGAATAAATGATAGATGGGTAAATTACAATCGGAAACACAATGGCCTTATACATTTGGTTCAAAATTACTGTGTAGAAAATATTTTTATATTGGTACATTAAGAATAGAAATTTGCTACATCTAGTGTGAACGTATATGCAAATGAAACCCAAGCAATTACCATGAATACCAGAAAGATCTTTCACCTGGTACCATCGCCTATTACTTCGTCGTGCAGGTTGATAGGCCCTACAATTACGTGCTTGAAGTACGGAGGCAGAATATTTTCTGTTTCGTATTTTTTTTGATAGACTTTTTCGAGGAATTGCCTGTGAATAATTGAAAGTTCATAAAAAATTAGACAAGGATCAATGGATAGATTTTCAACTGATGTCCCTCATTCGTATATTATTTGGATCTATCGAACATATTTATCTTTTGATCAAGGTAGGAATAATCTTCAAGTTGTTCTTTTGTTTTCATGTTGGATAGATTATGAGCATCTTTTGTAGCTATTGTAACATTACGCAAGAGGACAAGCACACTTACCAATGAATTTCGGACAGAAGCCAAAACAGGCATGTCGAATTTAACTTCAATAAAAATGACATATTCGGAATTAGCGCAAAAAACTGCAACGAATGATGCATAGCTTCTTCATTTTTCTGCAGAAAAATTTTCGATCAAATTGAATTATAGAGTTGAAAGCCTTCCCGCAGCACATTTTGCCTGGGAACCTGGATATTTGTTTTAGCAATAGTGCGAATCAATCATTATATGAATGCCATGGACATACAAAAAGTGATCCCTTCATACAACAAAATATTATATGCAAATTTACTTAATAAAATTGGCAGCGCACATTTGAAAAATGCAGTAAAAATAGAATTTTCACTAAATTTTGATTCAAACAATGAACTACTATTAAACATTGCATTGGTATGAACTTGAATTAGTCATTGACTATTGTACAAAAACAATCAAAAATATTATATACCAACCATGGAAGGAAGTATTTCATTATAAAAATAAGATACATCCTGATGAATTTAATAATACAGTTAAATCCAACATACTATTTCGACATATCTACCTATTATTAAAAGAAAAAATGATAGTAATAGTCAGAGTCATTCTGACATAATAACAAAGAGAAATGAGTTAGCCATGGCTGCATTTCAGTCAAGCTCTACTGATGAAGGTACGTGATAACGACAAAAAGATCTTTTAATCATTTACTCACTTTCGCCACCTACGTTCCTCTTTCTCTTAATAGCTTTAAATAAAGTACAGCATACTTTGACACATGAGCTGTTATTACATGATACAACCATTAAGAGTAATTTAAATTTCAAATTTTCTGTGTCTATTAAATATTACTACCATACAATTCCTCACTTATAAAAAAATTACAATAAAAATGTCACAAATTGACCTGGTTGGAAGCGAAGTGGTGCCATTTCCCCCTTGGTTACATGTTTCACGAAAAGTCACATTTACTGCAAAAAACTGAATGATGAGAGATAAAAGATAATCTGATACAAGATGTCTCGCAAAGTCAACAAAACATATGACCAGTCATTTGATCATAATGAAACTCAGTCTTAAAGACAACAAGCAAAGTTTTCTGCTTCAGTTATGTAACTCTGATAAAGATCTCTTTTATTATCGATTGAATGAATCTAATATCCATCGCAGTTCTTATTGAGGTTTTGGATCAGTCTTTAGAAACCTGGTCTCTGAAGACTCCTAGACATTTAAGTACAGCAACAGCCATAATTCATTGATTTATTAAAGACATTTAAAATCGGCATTTCGACTGTTCATACAGTCATTTTCAAGAAAACTAGTATTGGACACGTAGTGCCGCTGGAGATACGAACAAAATTAAAAGGGCTTCCGTCAGAAAACCGACCTAGACTGTCCGGAGGAAAATTTTATTTTATTTTTATTTATGTCTCGTTCGAAAGAGCATACAAAATAACCACTATTCTTACAATAACTCTTTGTGAAAGTGCTTTTTTAAAAAACTAGAGGCCAAGCACTCTGTTGAGGGTCACTCTTGTTACCAAAAAACGTGAATTGGCACAAATTTTCGTCTTTTCCGATTTTCTGAAAAACTATCAAACTTCTATGATTCGTTCTTAACTCATTTGAAAGAGAAATGTTTACTCTATAAGATATATTTAGACATAATAACATGTTTAATTAGCTAGGACTAAATAATAGAAAAGTAAAAGCTTCCATATTTTTAAAATTGCCCTACGAAAAGTTTAGGCGTAAATGTCACAAAAAAAATCATTGATTTACGCATCTTTACAAGGTGTTAATTAGGCATGAATTACAGTGCATGGAAGGTCTCAACAGACATAAATTAGCTTTATAAAAACAATGATCACTCATTGTGTTATCAATCTTGTCAGTGACAAAAACCTTAGTTATACGATGACCACAGTAGACTGAATATTAAACTGATAATGAACGAGAATCTGCACATACGAAATTTGTTTTTTTGCGAATGTTCATCATAGATGCTTTTCTGTACTGGTAGAAAGTTATAGGCTTGTAACTGGATATGCACAAGTGTAACTGCATAATTGAACGTTTTTCTTTTATGATGATTTCAAACAACTGAATTTTAATTTAGTAGAGAAAACAAAAAGTAAAAGACTGCGCACCGTGACAAGTAAATCATGTGCGAAGTGGAAGGAAATACTCGCTCGAGCAAATACCAGAGCATGTTTAGAAGAGCAAGGTAGGTTCTTCATAATATGAAAAACCTATTCGTATATGAACTTCATATACGAATAAGACATTGAAGAAATCTGAAGAACCTTAAATCGACCCTGCACGAATTACGGCAAAATCTCAGCGCAGTCTGAAGAAAATCTTATACTAATCTTACTCAAGTGATCAAAATCTTAGTATGATCTTGCTAAGATCTTAGAATTATCTTATCAAATCTTAGAATATGAGTCTTATGATCCTCTAGGATCGTCGAGACGTGTCTAGAG